CCACAAGGCGTTTCATTTCGTAGAAAAATGATTTTTCTACAAAATGGACGTACGCAAAAATGTGAAGGCCATCTCTAGTCAAAATGAGAAAATCATAAGGCGTACCCAACTACGTTTGCGATCTGCTCTGATCAAACCAGTCTCGACCAGTCACTGCTAGACATGTATCGAGACTAGGACTTAGGTTTTGCAATGTTCTTGCACAAGTAATGCTTCATAGTCAACAGAAAGGAGTCGCAAAGTTCCTGACGTACTTGGCGTTGCGGAGCAACTATTTCTCTACAAAATGAGAGGTCGACAGGGATGATGCGACGTGTAGTACAATTTTCCTCAAAGCTTTGTGAAAAGGCCCGATATGACCGAGATCAAGAGTCTGGATCTCGGTCTTGGTTTTAGGGCTTTTTATGAAAATGAATTAAAAATTGAACCATACTTCGCACTCCCCTCATCGACCTCTTTTTTGGATGAAAATGTTGGTTCTATGAGCATTTATGTTGAACGAATTTATACCGTATTGCTCGTAATGAGAGCATCCTCGAGAAGAAAACCTGTAGAAGACCAAAAACTACTCTCTGCATGTCTTGCCATTCCCGGTTTTTCCGCAGCATGAAATTTAGCTACTTAAAATAAGGCAGAATAATTATTTTAAAAAGCTGGTAGCGACTAGTAAATTTTGGCCCAGTGACTGGAGAAGACTGGATATTGAAAACGAGAAGATTGGTGCCTACCTTGTTCGATACGACTCAAACAGTGATCGCTTGTCAAACATTCTCTCGATAGAGAGTTTTTTCGGCTTCCAATTTACTCTGGTGCATTTTTCGAAAAGACACAGTAGCACTTACACTTCAACACCAAGTTCCAGCGGCAACAACACAACCCGAAGTCCCGACCGTTCGACCACAGGTAACACATCAACGACAGCAAGGCATTCCACCGCCTCAACAAATTCGTGGCTCAATGCCTGACCCGATTCGCCGTTCGGTTGATCCCTACTGTGAACCACAACGACAGCAGAATGTTCGTCACGCGAATGACGCAAGGTGAGTAGCGGCAGGCCTTCTTATCTGATTGGTTGCTTATCTTTTCGTCAACGTGAGGGGGTCGATCTGTGCATGTTTGTTTCTCTTCTCTTCAAACATTAATTACAGCAGAATGTTCGTTACGCGAGCGAAGCAAGAAGGTGGGTAGCGGTATGACCTCATACCTGACTACTTGCTTATTTCTTCGTTAAGAAAAAAGAACATCGATCTGTGCATATTTCTTTCTCTTCTCGTCAAAATTAATTAAATTCTGCTGTTTTCCCCTCTTTAACAGTGTCAGCACCGTCGCCGTGACGACAGAAACAAAGGCGCCGATTGCACGCAAATATATTTTCTTTTCGTATGAAGAAAAAGATGAGACTGGTTCTTATGCTGCAAATGGGATCAGAGAGGCTCTTGTAGAGAGAAGAATGAGAGTTTATCAATCACGAAAAGATGAAAATATTAATACATCAATCGCTAACGGTATCGAAAATGCAGCGGTGGTTTTGGTCTTTGCGTCTCCTTCTTTACAACAATCGAAGGGTGGATCTAAAATCCTAAACTATGCTGATCAACGGAAGACTCCAATCTTAATTATCAAACATATTCCTAATTTCCAACCGCATGGGTGGTTGGGTGCCATTTTAGCGGCACAAAAGATCTGCTCAAGTGATTGCAATGATGTGATGAATTCATTGAATTCACTGGGAATCAGAATGGAAGAAGTCACTCTTAACGATGACGAAACCAATGACTTCTTGAAAGACTCGGAGCATCTTTTCCGTGGTAGCACTCAAGATGGAAATATGGTTGCGCATTATACGCAATCCAACAAGATATTTCCCATGAAATTCGAGGTACAAAACAGCCGTCATTCAGTTGTTGTCGTACTTTAATAATGTGTTGTTTGCTTTTTGCAGTTCTTTGGATTGGAAAATGATCGAATATTTGGTCAAGGAGATGATGACGTTGGCCCATTTACTGTTGCTGGTCAATACAAGTTAAACTTGGGTCAGGGCGACATCCATTTCATGAAGAGCTATGTCGGAAAGCATACGATCGAATATTTGGGCAAAATATCTATCTCCGGAACAAAGTGTATTTTGCATGGACGCTGGCAATATGGAGGTAGTTCTGACGAGTTTTCCATCGATTTGACTCTTGAAGAAGTTCTCGACGTTCCTCTGCCCACGAAGTCATCCAGAACGTTTGCCACGAAAGTCATGCTTTCTTATTGCCCCTATCAATACGACTTGGCAGAAAAGATCACCAAGGGGCTTAATGACAAGGGCATTCCAGCCATTTGTCCCGAATTTGACTTGCATGGGATGATCCAAACGGCGGCAAAACATGCGAGGGTTGTAGTGCCTCTTATGAGTCAGGCTTATGAAAACTCCAACATATGCAAACAATTTCTGACGTATGTCGACGAAGCAGCCATCCCCATCGTGCCATTGAAGGCTCAATATCCATACACTCAAAGCGGATGGCTCGGGGTCATATGCGCTGGCGCTCTTTGGACGCAGATGACGAAGGACAATGAGTTCGAGCAGAAGCTGACAGAATTAATTGGACAACTCTCTGTATATACATCCGGGCCAGTGGATGAAAGTGAGAACGAAGTTGTTGCTGATGATTCTTATGCAATCGGTTACTATGAGCAGTGGGGTGAGAAGCACGACATGAAATTCGACATGTTCGTGATGGTCAGCGGCTGTATCGCAGGACAAGGCAGCGACGAAGTGGGTGACTTTGTCATTGGCGGACAATACAGTTGTTATGGGAGTGGAGAGGACTACCAAGTGCAGTTTAAAAAGCATTATATCGGACAGCATGACGTAAATTACTGTGGTACGACCACACATACTGACAGGTGTCTCACTATTGAAGGCGAATGGTCGATCGAAGACTCTTCGGACAAGTTCCACATTGAAGTCGTCCGACAACACCAGTCAACTCCCAGTGGCTTACATGTGATGCTGAGCTATCAGTGGAACAGTCAAGAGCTAGTGAAGCGAGTGGCGAATATGCTCCGCCAGAGGAATATCCCGATTTGGTTCGACATCGCCGGAGATATGAAAGAAAACATTAATACCGCCATGGCCAACGGCGTGGAGAAGGCAGCGATCGTGTTGAGTTTTATCACCATTGCTTACAGCAAAAGCGTGAATTGCCAAAAGGAATTGACGTATGCTTCTCAGCTGAAGAAGAAAGTCATCCCCGTGCTCGTGGAGAATGATCAAGCGCTTAATGGCACTTGGCTAAGCATGATCATTGCTTCGCTGAACAAGATCAACCTGCAAGATAAGAACCAATTCGATCAGAGTTTCGACAACCTTGTGCATAATATCGATGCCATTCTCGACGAACAGAAGAAAGAAGAGACATCCAATAAGAAAACTCATGCTGTCACGAGGTTTGAAGGTGGCGCTGTCGCAGGGAAATACTATCAATATGGTCAGGCGAACGATATGTTTTTTGAGTACTTTAGCCTAAGGGATGGAAGAGTAGCTGGACAAGGAAACGATACTGTCGGACAATTCACGATGGCTGGACATTACCATGAGGACGGGCAGGTTGACTTTACCAAGCAATACATTGGACAACATGCTGTGGAATACCATGGAACAGCGAGTTATGACAGCCATGGAGGGTTTAAGATTGCAGGCAGGTGGAGCATCGGCACGCTTTCCGACGAGTTCTTCCTTGAAAGCGTCTCCAGCTCCGCCAATTAGAAAATCCATGAAGCAGCAACATTTCAGTGACTTTTCTCAACATGCACTTCTTAAAGCTTAATCGATTTCATTTCGTTTCATTTCAGTTCTTTCATTTCGATATATGAGTTTTTCGGACAGAAATCTACACGTACAGTGCTTGATTATATTTACTGATGAGGCGCAATTTCCTTTGCAATGACTGCATTGTAAAAAAATTCCGTGGAATAAACAACCACTGACCGTTCTTCGACACTGTAAAGAACCCCTTTTGGATATTTTGAGCGGATAAACCCTACGAAAGCGTTCTTTGCATCGGTAGTTCTTGAGTGTATGCAGATCAATCAGTTATACTCGATTCCAACGGAAGCAACTGTATTTGTTCGAGGTCTCGGTTTGTCTGCTCACGATGTTATCTCACAATTGACAGTTGGACGAGGTGGATATTTCAAACGAGATGGCGATGCTATGTTGAATTATTATCCAAGTGGAAAAGAGCCAGAAATGTTTCTCTTCTCTCGACAATCACTACCATTTTGTGCTCGTGCAAGTAATCAAAAAGGTATCGGTGGTCAACATTACCAATAGAAAGGAAAGAAAAAAAAGTATAACATCGATAAGGAACACAGTGGAAGAAAATGCGTCACATACCGAGGCACTGAAGTAATCCTATGTTACGCTTCTGTTCCTGGCGTGACTGCAAGTATCATGGAATAGAACAACCTTCTTTGTTCCATCTTTCACAAATAGATGATTGAGAAAAAGAACGCCTTCCTCTCTCTTTTGTGCGACAGAGAAAAGAACGAAAGTCGGGATGTCGCTAAATATGATTTGTATTGCACACTGCGAGTGCCACTATAATATCAACGACAGCAGAAGCAACGACACCACGAGAAAATCATCGTCGCCATCGAACAACTCACACAATCGGACACTCACAAGGACAAACTGAAAGAAAAGATTGACCAATATGAGACGTCGGTGCTGATGGAAATCGCAGGCGAAAGTATCGGTGCCCCGATAATTCACAATGTCGTTGAGTTTCTCACTTCGAATCTTGTGGACGACGAATAGTGAATAGAATCAACTCTCTTTTTCGGAAGCTTTCTTCAGAAGTTTAAATAGCATCGAAGTAAATTGAACAAGCAGCGACAACATGAACTGTATTGTATAACATACAGTGTCATTTTCTTATTTATTTTTTCTAGATTTTCTGAGCACACTCTTCACAATAATATATGAATGTTATATACATGTACATATATTAGCCGAGTCCGCCTGGAATGCACATCGGTTTGTTGGAACCTGCCCAGCTTCCTGAGCATTGACATTGATAGGCTTCAACTGGTTTTCCATTGCATGTTGTAGTGCCTACTCGAACACATCTTCCAGTTGCCGCATTCCTGCAACCTTGGCAGTACGATGGACAACTTTGCCAAAGAATGCCTGTTGCAGGTGAGGACCAGCCTGTACATCGACTCCATGTTTCGTAGCAATCCCAGGCGTTTGAAGTGCCAGCAAGTACAACTACCAGTAACCACGCTAATAAACACCACGCGATTTTCATTACGATTGTGCTGTTATTTAAAAAAAGTATGATCGTCAAATTGATTGTATGATAGAAGATCACGGATTAGCTTTATAGCGTACAGCGAATGAGAAATTGTTTCTTACAGTGGTGGTACACTTGTCTACCATATAAATATATACAATCTTTCCTACTAGTATGTCGTCGAAAAAAAAAGCTTTTCAAGAGAGAAATACCAGGTGGTCACTGTCATGGAGGAAGTGACACGTTGTTCCTTTCGAAGACAGAATTAGAACTTAACGTAGGTGATGAAAAATTGTTGCAAACAAAAGCCTCTTTGATAATGACTCATTCAAACTACGAAATAATGACGCTATGTGAATAATCCAATATGACGCCGTTTTTATTCGCTGCAACAGAATGGTACGCAAAAGACCATTTTGCATCAAAAATTACAGTTAAATAATTGCCACGTATACTGCTTCAAGATACCTATGTAGTCTCAATGACTAAAACCTGCATAAACGCACAAAAAAGGAAAAAAATCGATCGTTTTCTGTTGACGTTCGCTGGTATCAAATAACAACGAAAGCAGCCACTTCCTTTTTCGTGCATTTAAATGCGTTTTCGGAAGTGTGACTGCCTGGATAGGTAACACAAATTGTAATGACCATTCTACATTGCCAATATAAATGGCTGTTTGTTTCATACAGAAACACTTGAAAATTATTCTCTTTTAAAAGAAAGTACTGTTCTCTAGCGAATGCAAAACAGTGTATTATGTGCATAGGGGTGTCAAAAAGTTCTCGTAGTAGGTCTGTAAGATTTCATCCTCGTTAGTTTTATCTCTTCTGTCAGCCTATTGTAATAGCGATATCTGTTAGGTATTAAAATACCAGAACGATGTTTCTCAAGCGTGTTTTAGAACACAACTTCAATAGGGTTTCCTGATTGCTCTGTTTTCAGGTGAACAAACTAAGCATAAGCTCACACATAGAAACGCGTTATTTATTAGATTTAACTAACACATAAGTTCATAATGGATCGACTGCTGCTTACAGACAAGTTGTTGCCTCTCACAGCATAGTTATTTATTGGGTTCATCAGTTTTCATGCAAACGAGACTTGTTAGAATATGATCCTTGAAATGTTCATCTGGTAACCGGCATCACTCAACAGAGTGCTGATGCTATTAAGGACCTGCTGAAGTAGAACTTTCAAATGAAAAACTGCATGTTCAAGGAACTGATTTTATCTCAATAACCTTTCAGGAGCAAAATCAAAATTATGAATCATGCACCATACTCATCTACCATTGCTCCTTCAGACTTGTAGTCTTTGAGTTCTCTTAAGCGCAGTCTTGGTAGAGATCCAGATGTTACAAGTTTAGCTAATGCAATAACATTTGAGGATTTCAAATCACTTTTCAAATCAACAAATCACTTCTCAAATCATCAAATCACCAAATCATCAAATCACAAATCAGCTGTTTCACCTTGATAATTTCTGATAAGTACCCAAAATTACTCGTAATTAGTCATGAGTAACCATAGTTACTCGTAATTAGTCATGAGTACCAATAATTACGCATAATTAGTCATGAGTACTCATAATTACTCATTGATCATCATGAGTACTCGTTGATCATCATGAGTATTCATTGATGATCAATGAGTAATTATGAGTAATTATGAGTAATCATGAGTACTCATTGATCATCAATGTAATTATGAGTAATTAGAAAGTGATTTGCTGATCTGGTAAATCACCTTTCAAATCAACAAATCACTTTTCAAATCATCAAATCACTTTTCAAATCAAAAATCAGTTCAAATCACCAAATCACCAAATCAGCTGTTTCCCCCTTGGAAAAATCTGTCTTCAGTGATGAGTTTCCGACAATCGAAATATCGACAATATTTATATTATCTATTAAAAAAATATATGTCGAAAAACATTTACCCGTAATATCAATTAAATATATCATATTTCAAATATGAATAATGCTACTTTCAAGACCAAAAAAAATATGATTTTCATCAATTCAATAAAACGCAGCTCAATAAGTCGTTCAACGTAATCTAGTAGACGCTCTTCGAGCAAGAAGCTTAAATCACTTAATAAAAACTATGCACTACGTTCTCTACTGTTTTGAGTAAACTGGGTCTAAAAGATTTCAGCCAGGACTTGATGTTGTATTTGACTGTCACTATCTCTAATCTGATGGATAGCATGCTCATGTATACGCAATACGACGAGATTCATCGAACAGAAGTTGATGGGCATCTTTGGAAGACATTGTCTGAAGTGCAGTAACGAGTTGAATAATTTGAAATTGAGTGAGATCATTTTTATCGTTTAATTCTTTTTGTAACACGAGTGTGGACAATTCTTTACGTGTAATGAGTGATCTCAGCAGACCAATATGCTTCCAGGGTATGGGGTGGATGTGTGTGTGGGTAGAGTGTTCTTCTTTTCTTGAACAAAGCATCCACACCCACACCTACACTCGAAAACCGTCAGAAAGTACATCTATCGTTTGTTATGCCGATTTCCTAATTAGTTTTATTAGTTCTTTATCAACAAAGTGTCTGATAGGGGATATTACTTAGTGTAACTGTGTGAAAAGAGGACGGTAGTAAGTGTAAGTTGAATGTGATATTCAAAGCAGCTTCTAAAAGTTTTGCCGATATCAAAATACACTCATAGACTTTGCAACCCCTTAGAAATTGTGAATGCTCTCTTTTCATGACTTTTCTAGGCTTTTTACGACACAGTATTTTAAACAGAATATTTTTTTCTTGTGTTCTTCTACTTAGCAAATAAAGAAAGAGAATTGTCGACCAAGAAAATCCGGAAGAATGCAAAAAAAATCATACTGCCGGCGGTGGGGTGTGGGTGTGGGTGGGTGTGGGTGTGGGTGTGGGTGTGGGTGTGGGTGGGTGTGGGTGTGGGTGTGGGTGTGGGTATGGGTGTGGGTGTGGGTATGGGTGTGGGGTGTGGGTGTGGGTGTGGGTGGCTGGGTGTGGGCGCGCG